TATGGTGGTTATAGTAGGGAAAATGGGAGTGCCTAGCTACCCAAAATATGGAGCAGATAACAAGGAGCTCGCATCATGTTGAGCTTTCTCGTACCAGATGCGTGTTAATGCCCAAACTGGTCCCGGGTCTGCCTGGTTTTGGCTTCCACCACTTTACGCGGTGTACACTCCCACCACTAGATGTCAGTGCCGTGTTAACAGCAGGCTTTGTCCCCGCCGCGCGACCCTGCTGCTCGCTGTGCTTAGCCCTCTCATCTGCACAACTCAGACAGCTGAGGGCTGCTATCCCGGCTCACGAACGAGTCACTCGTCCAAGGTCACGGGGCTAGTAAGCGGCAGAGCACGACTGGCATCTTCCTCTTGGCGGTTTCTGTGCGTGCCTCGTCGGTCCCCGGAGGTGTTGGGCGCAGCCGCATGAGTAGCTGCCTTTGACAGGAAAAAAGGTGGGAATGCAGCAAAGGGGTGAAAAGCAATGCTCTTGGGGTCTGGGGCTGGTCGACCTGGTATTTCTCAAACTCAAACGCTGAAACAAAGCCAAGGGAAACCCTTTTAAAAATACGGAAAGCATGGTTGTGTGATTCACGGAGCATAGTACATGGAGTAAAACTATAAAATGAAGCACCCGGAACGAGTGCCATGGTTCAACTGGTTAATCCTCCACCTGCAAACGCTACCATGTCATATGGGTGTTGGTTCATGTGCTGGCTGCTCCACGTCCCATCCAGCTCCAGTTTATGGTCTGGGAGGGCAGTGTGGAGGATGGCTCAGTTTCTTGGACTCTCCACCTATGTGGGAGACCTGGAAGAAGCTCCTGGCTCCTGGCTTTAGATTGGGCTCAGCTCTGGCTGTTGTGGCCCTTTGGGGAGTGGACCAGCAGAAGCAAGACCTTTCTGTTTCTCCCTCTCTTTGCAAATCTGCCTTTCAAATAAAATAAACAAATAAATAAATACATACAAACACTGGAAAAATACACACCCACTTGATGGTGGCTTGTCTGAGGGAAAATGGATTAGGCAAACTGAGCCAGAGGCTTTCACGTTGATCTATATTGTTCTATTTATTTTGTATCTATTTTTCTTCCCACAGAGACTGTCTTTCAAAAAGAAAGGGAACAAACTTAAACCTTCACACAGAGCACCAGTTTTGTCTTTTTTTTTTCTTTTTTTAAGATTTATTTATTTTTATTGCAAAGTCAGATATACAGACAGGAGGAGAAACAAAGAGGAAGATCTTATGCCTAATGATTCACTCCCCAAGTGAGCGCAATGGCTGAGCCGATCTGGAGCCAGGAGCTCTTCGAAGTCTCCTATGCAGGTGCAGGGTCCCAAAGCTTTGGGCCGTCCTCGACTGCTTTCCCAGGGCACAAGCAAGGAGCTGGATGGGAAGTGGGACTGTCGGGATTAGAACCGGTGCCCATATGGGATCCCGGCATGTTCAAGGTGAGGACTTTAGCCACTAGGCCACTGTGCTGGACCCAGAGCATCAATTTTGTATTTTCACAAATACATTACTTAACTCCAGCTGTTATCATCAAGTTAACGTAACACACTGCCTTATCTAGTCTTGGTGACTTCAGAGGATTCACAGGTTAAACTTGCAGCAGCCTAGCTGCAGTCAGTCTCTGCCTTTCATTTAGCAACCAAGTGGTTTCTTTAAGGCAGTGTTTTTCTTTCCACACCAGTTAGAAACCACTTCAGTGTTTCTTTAAAAATAGCAGTTCCCACTACTCCCTTGCTTCACTTACTGGTGGAGGGGGCAGGGAAGTTATAATCAAATGTTTGATTGCTCAGGTGGAAAGCCCCAATGGTTAAAACAAATTACCCTTCCCTCTAAGTCCCTTTTAAAGCCGGCAGGCAAATAGGTTACCTAGAAACACGACTTACAGCTAACTTTCTTCCTGTATTTACCAGGCCTGCACGCATAAAGTCGCTGGTCCTACATGGACAAGCTTTTCTAGAAGGGTGATGTGTTTAAGGAGGTTGATGTTCTTAGACTGTCGGGGGCTAAAGGCTCCAAGGAGGAGGGTGGTTCTAAGCAGGGTCTTTAATTTGGGGGTGGGGGGGATTTTGAAGACTGGAGGCAGAAGTTTGAACTGCAGTTAAGATGGGTGAGTTGTGGCACTGAAGTTGCTGGTTGGGATCTCTGCATTCCATATCCAAAGAGGGTTGAGTCCCCCCCCCCCCACGCAGCCCCCATCCCACTCTTCTGCTGCTGTGCGCGTCCCCCCAAACGCAGCCCCCATCCGCTCTCTGCTGCTGCTGTGCCCAGGAAGTAGCTGAGTATGGCTCAGGTGCTTGAGTCTGCCATCCATCTGGGAGAACCAGAGGATTCCTGCCTCTTGGCTGCACCCTCCCCAGACACAGGTGTCACAGGAATTTGGGGAAGTGAACCGGCAGATGGAATATCTGACTGTCACTCTGCTGTTCAACTAGGTAAAAGTCTTAAAAAAAAAAAAAAAGGCCTACAACCACAACCACATATGAGAGAGGCTCAACTCTCCTTTCAATTTCGCTTCCTGCTGATGTATAACCTGGGAAGCAGAAGTGCCTGGGCTCCCTGCCACTCATCTGGCTTTGGCCTGCCTCCCCCACATCCCCCGGCTGTTATGCATATTTCCAGGAACTTCCTTTTCTTTATTATTACTATCATATTATGACACAGTTTCATAGGCCCTTCCAGGGACTTTCAACAAATAACATTTTTATAAAATTGAAAGTTGGTTCAGAGTCCACATGGGACTTTTTGTCATTGTTAAAGACTTCTTTGTTTTAATGTGAGAGGCAGGATTACAGAGAAAGGGAAGAGTTCTTATCCATTGGTTCACTCCCCCAATGGCTAGAAGAGCCAGAATTACACCTGCCCAAAGCCAGTGGCCTGGAGCTTTTTCTGGGTCTCCCACATGGGTGCTGGGGCTCAAAGCTTTGGGACATTCTCCTTTGCTTTCCCAGGCCATTTGCAGGGAGCTAGATTGGAATTGGAGCAGATGGGACAAACACTAGTGCCACAACTGGAGGCTTAGCTTTTTATACCATGGCCTCAGCACTCAGCATGGAGCTTTGGTGAGCTACTGAATGCACTGGAGGACTGGACGGAGGAAGAGGGGGGATGTGGCTAGCTCCAAATCTCCTGGATCATCTGACAGGCCATAATGCCCTCTGCTCCTGTGAGGAAGCCAAAGTCTCAGCTACCCGTAACGAGGGCAGCTTTCCTGTACAAACTCAGTTGCTTTTCACGCAAGTTTAATGTACCATAGGGGAAGAAGTGGTACCCCCCCCCCCCAACTGATAACTTCATGTCAGTTCTGGGAAAACTGTCTTTCAAGATGCTCAGCCTGCACTTGGTGAGAGCAGAGAGCTGTGACAGCTGGGGAGCCCTGGATTGGCCTAAGGAACCGACCTGTCCTCCCATCCGTGGCATCTTCTGGCCAGGCTCTGCTGGGGGCACACAAACCTCATCCCTCGTTAGCGCTGGAGCCACCTGCTACAAAAGAATGGCTCTGACGTGTCACGCATCAACCCCATGGCAGAAGCCCATTAGAACGCTATCTTGCTGAATCTAGTCCCTTCAGTGCTCAGATGAGGCCAAACAGAACAGAGTGGCCAAAAAACTAAAAAAATCTGTGAGCACAGCCTATGACTGTGGCAATCCAGGAAAGAGGATATAGAAGCTGGTGGGAACTGAGTGGCCGTGCAGGCCTCCTTTGGGCGGCTCCTCTCACTGACCACGATGGAGAGCCCACAGAGGGGTCTTTGTTTTTTTACAACACAGAGCACATCACCAAAGCTACTGGGCTGGTGATCAAAGTCAGGGTTTAACAGCAAAGCCTGAATTGACCAAACCCTGGGTTGACTGAATTGTTCTTTTTTTAAAGATGTATTTTTATTGCAAAGTCAGATATACAGAGAGGAGGAGACACAGAGAGAAATATCTTCTGTCTGATGATTCACTCCCCAAGTGACTGCAACAGCTGGAGCTGAGCCAATCTGGAGCCAGGAGCCAGGAGCTTCTTCTGGGTCTCCTATGCAGGTGCAGGGTCCCACAGCTTTGGGCCATCCTCAACTGCTTTCCCAGGCCACAAGCAGGGAGCTGGATGGGAAGTGGGGCTGCTGGGATTAGAACTGGTGCCCATATGGGATCCCAGCAATTCAAGGCAAGGACTTCAGCCGCTAGGCCACGGAGCCTGGCCTGACTGAATTGTCCTTTAAACACACACTTAAATAGACAGGAGCAAGAGCCTCATTACTTATATCTGCATTTTATTTCTCATAAACAAGGACTAAGCAAAAGCGTGATTATGGTAGCCCACTATCATGTTAAGGCAGCAACAGTAACTTAAAGGCCAACAGACCCACTTAAAAAATAGGAAACCCTATTCCAGGAAGCATTAAGCTTCCAAAAACCAATGGCCATTAAGAATTTTTATTACCTATCAAACAGCACCAAACCAAACCAAAACAAAACAAAAATTAAAAAAAAAAAAACCCAACCAACATCTTTTTTTTGTTCCCCTGTTGCTGACAAATGTCAGGTGTGCACAACCTGTTGATTCCCACCAGGTCCAGGCACAGAGGCACCCTCGCTGGCACTCTGCAGACCAAGATGTGGCCTGAGCTGTGGTCACCCCAGGACGCACCAATCTGGCAAACAGGCCCCCGGTCTTTGTACACAGCAGCGTCTCCCCACGGGCAAGGAATCACACCGAAGTGTCTGTAAATGCTACGTTCGCTATGGAAACAGCAGCAAAGCCCGAGTTTCAGGCAGTGCTCCTCAGGCCCCGTGAGGAGGCAGGGCACTGCCCTTGCTGAGCCCTGGGGCAAGCCTCAGGTCCCCTGTCTCAAATGGAAGCTGGGGCAGGAGACAAGGAAGCTTGCATGGGGCAGGGTCACTGATGTGACCACCAGCCCTGCCTTCCCTCTTCTCTGGGGGTTCACAGGGCAAGAACCATGGCCCTTGAAGGCTACGCCTTTCAGTCTTTCTTGGTAGCAAGAACTTTCAATCAACTTCTGCTTGTGATCACAGAGCTCTCGGGTCCAGCGGCACCTCCACGGTCAGACGGCAGGAAGCAGTGAGCCGTTTCCTTAAACTCTGAGTGTGCTGGCTGGTGTACAAGGCCCCTTAAGCTGGCTTCTGAACAGTCTGGCTCTTCTTGTCTGTGTACTCTTCGAGCCGAAGAAGCCACTTGGTCCAGTATTGGGCACAGAGGTCGGCGTCCATGAAGTGCGGGTGGGCGGGGGACCCGTCCTTGTAGGCCACCACGATCAAGCCACACTGAACCTAGGAAGGAACACAGGTAATTCCACATTCCACGTTAGGTCCAGGGTCCAGGAGCCTCTCCTGGCCACTCCAGGGCAAGCCTGGTACAGCATGGTCTTCAGGGGTTATCTCCTGATTCAATCTCTAAGTGGGCGGATGAAAGGCTACACCGAGATGACAGATAAAGCGAGGCCGAATGGACTGTGATCATTGTAGAACCGTTTGTAAGGAGTCCAGAAGGGGGAGAAAAAGTGTTCTTTGAAGTGAGAGAAGAAAGTAAGGTGGGGAGAACAAAGAGGGACAGTCAGCAGTGCTTTCTGAGTGAGGACACCCGGCGTCAGGTGGCCATCAGCCCGCACCAAGCAAAGCCAGACAAAAGGAGTCGCAGCTGACCTGGAAGCTGTAGTTGGCGTCGTGGTTTATGGCACCCATGTATGCCACGACCTGCAGTGGGTTGTCAAATGTGTTTCGGATGAATGGCTTTGGTTTTTCTGATGTCTTCCAGTCAATCACACACAGCTTGCCCCTAAGGAGGAACCAGAGGAAGCTCTGGTAGGTAAAATGATTCAAACTGCAAAAGCCGGAGAAGTCTCCTCACATGGCCTTCTTGTTGCCCAACTCCTCCCACTGCTCCTGCTCCCCACTTTGCACACAGCTCCTTAGGAACCTGTCAGGGAGTGAGCCGGAAGCGCATCCTGAAGGTGGGCCCTGGGAGGCACGCAGGATTCCCCACCCTGGGGTAATTCTTCTAGACTTCCATGGCCTTCTTTAACACTTGACATGGAAACTCAAAACCTACTGTCACTCTGGCTGATCTGGTTCCAAATATCTATTTGAAAGGAAGGTGACACAACAGTAGCAAAGGCTCCATTGTGGACTATGAATTTTGGTCCCTAAAAAATCCTCTTGCTCAGAAACCAAAGTGGGGCTCAAAGCATCAATATTCAACAGGCACTAAATATATGCAGAAATACAAATAAGCGAACCTGGTCCCTGTAACAGCAGTTTACACACAGGGCAATGTGATTACAGCCATTGGGGGAAGAGAGAAATTTCTGCCCCTCTCCCTCCCTTTTTTTTGGTCTAATAACCAACATCTTGCTCCCGACTCGCTCCCTCCTGGTGAGATGTTTATACTTGCCAAATGCAAATATCAAGAGGACTGTAAGATGAGTGGACTGATAACTGCTGACTCAGAGGGCTTTACCTGATCTCATGATTCCTGTTTAAAAATCAACAGTACATGGTAGGTCTGTGCGTCACCTACAAGTCACTACAGCCCTGGCTAGTTGCATCTTAGGCATGGTACTGGAGCAACAGTGTGAAAGGAATGAAAGGTGAGCCATGCATGTCACTAAAAACGTTCAAATAGTCACACTAAGAAAGGAGAGAAACAGTGCAATAGGAAGACCTGATTTAATCCAACATACTCAGAATACTGTCATTTCAACAGTTATTCGATCTAAAACCATTCCAAGTCACTGAAATGCAATTTGTTTAGTCCACCTGGGTTTAGACTGGTCACCCTAATGTAGCAGTTAGTGGCTCTAATGGACAATGCAGGTCCACATTAGTCTTACTGTTCTTTGTAACTGTTCTGTAATATTGGTAGCTCTAGGAGGCTGCCAATTGTGTTTCTACCACTTGAATATATCAAAATACACTAAGAGATTATTTCTGGTGCCCAGTGTGGAAGCCTAGTAGCTAAAGTCATCACCTTGCATGCAATGGGATCCCATGTGAGCGCTGGTTTGTACCCCTGCTGCTCTATTTCCCATCCAGCTCCCTGCCTGTGTCCTGGGAAAGCAGTCAAGGATGGTCCAAAGTCTTGGGACCCTGCACCTGCATGGGAGATCCAGAGGAAGCTCCTGGCTCCTGGTTTCAGCTCAGCTCAGCACTGGCTGTTGTGGCCACTTGGGGAGTGAACCAGTGGACAGAGGGTCATTCTCTCTGTATTTGCTTCTCTCTGTAAATCTGATTTTCCAATAAAATAAATAAATCTTAAAAAAAAAAAAGATTATTTCTGTCATGGACCACTGCTCTCAGAAAAATGCTACAGCTGTGGGAAAACTGCAGGAGCATGCTGCAAACTATGAAGCATTAATCAAAGAAATGAAGACAATATGAATAAATGGTAAGCTAGTCCATGTTCATGGATTGGAGGAATTAGTATACATGTCCAGACTACACAAAACCATCTAAAGAATCAATGCAATTGCTACCAAATTGTAATGGTGTTTTTGACAAGAAAAAAACCGATAGTGAAATTCCTAGACATACAAAGATTCCAAATAGGCAAAACTGTCTTAAGGAGGAAAAAGAACTAGGCTAGAGATGCTGACATTCCACATGATGGTCAGGTTGAGTCCTGGCTCCTCTGCTTCTGATCCAGCTCCCAGCCAGTGCACCTGGGAAAGCAGCAGATGATCACCCAGGGGCTTGGGATCCTGCACCCCTGCGAGAGAACCAGACACAATTCTGCTCTCCTCCTGGCTTCTGCCTGGAAAAGCCCTGGCCATCGCAGCCATTTGTGAAGTGAACCAGTGCCTCTCTCTATAACTCCACCTTTCAAAATAAATAACTGGATATTCAAAATATATTTCTGATACTGGAACCACGTAGCATGTTATGGGCATAAAAACAGCACACTGTCCAAAGGAACAGGCTACGAAGCTGGAAATAAATCCATGCATTTATAGGTATTTTCAACAAAGGTTCCAAGAACATACAACAGACAAAAACAGCTTCAATAAATGGTGTTATGACATGTTATGAAAACTAATCAAAACTAAATACTGAAATGTAAGGCCTAGAATGGAAACTACTAGAAGATAGGGAAAAAGTGCCATTACATTGCTCTGCCTCATTTTCTTGAATAGAACTCCAAAGCCACCAGCAACAAAAGCAAAAACAAATGGGATTCCATCAAATCAAAAAGCTGGGGTACTGCAAAGCAATTAAAAGAATGAAGAGACTAACAACAGATGGAGAGAAAATATTCATACACCATGTATTAGATGGGGGGCTAGACTCCACAATAATTTAGGAACCACCAACTCGATGAACAAGGCAACAACCTAATCAAAAATATGGGCGAAGGGCGCAGGGGCTGTGGCATAGTGGGTCATGCCACCACCTGGGTCACCCACATCCCTTGCTGGAGGGGCTGGGGTCGCATATTCCCACCACTTCAGATTCAGCCTCCCAGGAGGCAAATGGTGATTCAAGGACAGGAGTTCTAGCACGCCTGTGGGAACTCCAGACGGGGGCCAGCCCTGCCTGTAGCAGGTCTCTGGAGAGAGAACCAGAGGATGGAATCTGTTTCTCCTTCTGCCTCTCCTGCTCATGCTCTCACTCTGCCATTCAAATAAATAGGCCTAAACATTATAAACAAAGGAGCTTTCAAAACAAGAAAAATGAACTACTGGGGCCCGGCGTGGTGGCCTAGTGGCTAAAGTCCCCGCCTTCTATGCACTGGGATCCCATATGGGTGCCGGTTCTAATCCCGGCAGCCCCGCTTCCCATCCAGCCCCCTGCTTGTGGCCTGGGAAAGCAGAAGAGGACGGCCCAGAGCATTGGGACCCTGCAACCGCGTGGGAGACCCGGAAGAAGCTCCTGGATCCTGGCTTCGGATCGGCTCAGCACTGGCCATTGGGGAGTGAATCATGGGATGGAAGATCTTCCTCTCTGTCTCGTCTCTCCACCTCTGTATATCTGGCTTTGCAATAAAAATAAATAAAAACACAGAAATAATGTACAACGGGGGCCATTGTGATGGTTCAATTGGCTAATCCTCTGTGTGCAAGTGGCAGGATCCTATAGAGGCACCAGTTCACATCCCGGCTGCTCCACTTCTGATCTAGCTCCCTGCCTATGGCCTGCGAAAGCTGTAGAGGATGACTCAAAGCTTTGAGCCCTTGCATCTACTTGGAAGTGGAAGACCTGGAAGAAGCCCTTGGCTTCTGGCTTCAGACTGGCTCAGCTCCAGTGTCAGCCATTTGGAGAGCAAGTTAGTGGATGGAAAATCTTACTCTGCCTCTTCTCTGTGAATCTGCCTTTCCAATACAAATAAATAAACCTGGAAAAAAATGTACAACATCTCTAATTATTAGGGAAATGCAAATTAAAACTTCGGTGCAGAGATGTGGAATACAAACTGCAAAACTTACAGCACTGATGAGGCGCTTCTGGCGAGGGGAAGGACATGGCTTAAGGGAACATGAGCTTAACTTGTAACATCATGCTTTAAAATTACAAGGTTATGTGACATGCTGTTAATGATTTAAGACTGGGTGGTAGAACAGAGAAAAAAAATGTTGCCGATGTATACAAACTAATATGGAAAGATTTCTAAAATACATTAAGTGAAAAAAAAAATACAGCCCATCAGGTTAAAGAGCAAAATTAGGGACAGTTGACCATATATATTGTTAAAAAGTATCTTGAGAACTCAATTACTTTTTTCAATAGCGGTATAAAGTATATAGTGGGTATGGGAGATTCCCTCTTAGAGCCTTGAATTAACCAGGCCCAGGGTTACCCAGAGATTCCAGCCTATTCTTCCTGCTCCCACTCGCTCTGGAGCTAGAGCAGCTGGGGCACACAGCCCCCCGGGGTCTGCGGTCCCTGAGAAGAGGAGCACGGACCATGCAGAGGCTGCAGGAAACTCTACCCAGAGCTCAGAGTTCCTGACCGGGTCACACATTGCCTGGAAGTCAGGAAGTCTACTTTCAGGGCCAGGAGATCATGGTGTTATCTCTGGGAAAACAGGAAAGAAAAAGCAGGCCTCCACCAGATCTCACTGGCCAGTGTCTTGTTGCGGAGGGGTGGGGAAGGAAAAAGGGATGGGAGAGAGCAGCCATGCGGGGGCTACTGGCAGATGTTGCTTTGGGAATAACAGCCAATACGGATTCGTGGTTCTTCCTTCTCTATGTCCTCCTGCCCACATTCAATTTACATCATGGAGATTTTGACTTTGAAGAGGCAGAGGCTTTGGCACACCCTGAAGCAATTATTGAGAGAGAGAGAGAGAGAGAGAGAGAGAGAGTACCTTTTGACAGGTCCCATCTGCCCCGCTCCCATGCCCCTTGCGTGAATTCCCTTCCAGCCTGTGAGGAAGACAGTGTCACACTTACTGATACTCAGCCACACAGTCCAGCAGCCCTGCATACTTCAAGGTCTCATGCTGAACGGCGCTTTCAAGAGCTCGCACCTGGCTCACATCTTTCAGAACGTGCTGGACACTTTCAATATAGCCACATTTGAGAAGACTATCAGCTGTCTCTCTGAAGTTTCCCTGGGGGAGAAGGATGCTTTCCAAGGCTTCATGGAACTGTTTCCCTTGCAGAAAGATATCTAAAAAGAGAATCAAAAGGAAAAAAAAAAGGTAGTAAAAAAAAATTCTAAATACTCAATGACCACAGTAAAATTACACAAGATACCTGTGCTAAGCTCCAAGACACCGAATATCAGCCTCTTAAGAAACCCCATGATGCACTTTGAAACCCAAAACAGACAGAAAACAGATTAAAGTGAGAATTAAGACAAAGAGCTGGGGCTGCAGGTCCACATCAGAGTTATAGCACTTTGTATTATCGGTGTCAAATTCAATAAGTTTAACTGTGAAAAATAAAAACATAATTTAGGGAACTCTGCTCCTGCTTAAAATTACTTTACAGCCAAAACTTAATTATTAAAACAGATCCTTTTACAAATTAGTGACAACTAGGAATAATTAACTGGGGGCCTGGTGTGATGGCTCAGTGACTAAATTACCCTTGCCTTACATGAGCCTGTTTGAGTCCCAGCTGCTCCATTTCCTATCCAGCTCCCTGCTTGTGGCTTGGGAAAGCACAAGATGTGGGCCAAAGTCTTGGGACCCTGCACCCACGTGGGAGATCCAGAATAAGCTCCTGGTTCCTGGCTTCAGATCTACTCAGCTCTGGCCATTGCAGCCACTTGGGGAGTGAACCAGCAGAAAGAAGATGTCTCTGGAAATCTGCCTTACTAATAAACAAACCTTTTAAAAAAGTTAATTGGATACTATGGAGTTTTCAGTAGGGATGGATAGCCAGAGCTCTTCCAGGTCTCCCATACAGGTGTAGGGTCCCAAGGCTTTGTGCTGTCCTTGACTGCTTTCCCATGTCACAAGCAGGGAGCTGGAATGGGAAGTGGAGCTGCTATAACAGGAACCAGCACCTATATGGGATCCTGGCATGTGCAAGGTGAGGATTTCAGCTGCTAAGCCACCATGCCGGCCCCACCCTCTTTCTTTTCTTTTTTTGGGGGGCTGGGATAGCCTGAGATGGTTGCCGTGCCCTGATTTTTTCCTCATACACTCTAGAGAAGTTCATGGGCAATTTCAGATCGATGAACTACAACTTAGTGGAGTTTGGGAGGAAGGTTGTTGCATCACAGAGTAAGGCTAAGCCACTTGGGACCCCTATCATGGAGTTCCGACTTCAATTCTGATCCAGCTTCCTGCTAAGGGGCATCGTGGGAGGCAGTGCCTGGTGCCTCTAATACGTGTTACCCACATGAGAGACCTGGACGGAGCTCCTGGCTTCAGCCTGGGCCAGCTATGGCTGTGGAGGGCATTTGGGGAGTGGACCAGTGGGTGTAAAATCTCTCTCTCACTCTCTCTTTTTCCCTCTGCTACTTTCAAATAAATAAACACCAAACATGATTTCATTTGTAAAACAGGATTCAAGAATAGATGCATTGCAGGTGGCATGAAGCTGGAGTAGTCACTTAATACATTAAAGGAATGAAAGTGAAATATTTAAGTCCCAATTCATAAAGTACAGTGAAAACATTCATTCATCTCCCACAATTCTAAGCTGGAACTGGCAAGATACAGATTCTACTTCAGAATTAAAAAAAAAAAAATCAGTGTAGCAAAATTATGAATAAACTCCTGCCCTTTCCACTATGGTCAATGAATATACATCAGAGGCCCTTTCTGCTTGGCACAAGCCTGCAGAAGGTGAATTGCCTCTTGGGAAACTGCCCAAAGCATCTGGAAGCACGCCAGCTCTGGGCACATCTCTGTGCTCTGAACTTTGGCAAGACCAAGCGGGAAGGAATTTATCAAGTCAGTTATTTTTCAGACTGTCCCTCCGGACACATTCATCAGCCGAGTTCTGACAGAACTTTTCTTCCTTTTGTTGGACTCTGATTTCTTACAGCGGATCTGAGTTAACTGAGAAACAAGAGAAGTGCTGATGTAGACCCCAGAGCTGACTGTGCGGGTCTGTGGGCCTGGGCTGCCGGGCTCATTCTCAGTCCAAACACAAATTCTCTCCTTTAGGAGTTTGCTATGAATTCCAAATTTTAGGTATACATGAACAAAAACAAACAAAAAGCAAAAACCACCTCCAGATGTCACTGAGATTTTTATGTGGTGTGTTCAGAGAGCAGAGCTTGCAGTGGGTCCTTGCCCCACACAGTTGAGGAATGTTTGTGTTCTAGCCAGCAGCACCTACAATAAACTTACTTTCATTATTAGCGTGTAGGTGGCCACATGTTGAATGGGTTACACACTGACACACACAGGTGTTTCTGATACTAGAAACTCCCCTGAAAGTGTCCACGTGCCATCAGGGGCACGTGTACTGCATCTACTCAACAAAAAACATCCACAGACTCCGTAGGGGAGCAGCTACTTCACCCCTGCAACATGGTCTTCTTTTTTTTTTTTAAGACAGAATCTATTTTAAGGAAGTCATTTTTCTTTCCAAGGTGGCAGTTGCAGGCTAATGCATATTTCTTCTCAGTTCTTAAGACCATCAGGGCATGTCAACTCAATTTGGATCATGGAAAGCTTTCACTAGTCTTAAAGTCGTCTAGCAAATAACTACAATTCTGTTATCAAGGGATTGCCTTCTTTCCATAGTCCATGGAAACAGGCAACCCTAATATTAAGCTTGCATCTGACACGCACGAATCTTGTCACTTGATCTCGACACTTGTGCTGCACCTGTAAAATGGAGACACTATTATCTGGGGCTCCAAGGACAGACAGAGGGTTTTCATGCCTACAAAGCGCTACTTAGCACTAAGTATTGGTTGAAAGCACCTCCTTGCTAGTTGAAACCCCAGTCTCTGGAGGCCAGGACTCTACATTCTGGAAAAGACCTTGACTGCACAGAACCAGGCTTAAGAGCATTACTTGAAGTGTATTCTGCAAAGCCATCTTCTCCCAGTTCCATAATCATCCGTTGCTTCCACCTCTCCAAATAGAAAACCTGTTCTGGCGACATGGTGTGCTGCAGCACCCGGGTCACGCTGGGGACCCCGTTCCTCCGCAGCGGGATTTTCAGGGGCACCGAGGGGTGCCTTGGGCCGGGTTCTAGGCCCCTTTCTGGATTGAAGATGGGGAACCAGTTTCGGGGGCTCTTGGCTTCCTGATCCTGTCCCGAGAGCTGAGCTCTGCTCACGGGTCCATAGAGCAAAGCATCTTCCTCCCACAGGGACTCGGGGGTCTGAGTGGGGCCTCGGGAGGACAGGACAGACTGCACTAAGTCCGAGTATTTTCCTTGGTCCACGCCTTCGTAAGGGTTTGTTCTTTTCTTCCGGCCGAAGCAGGAAGAGGAGGTGGAGAGCTGCGCCCGGCGCGATGGCTCTGCAGCAGATCCCCTGGAATGTCCGAGCTGCCTGCACAGGGCCCGGAGGGCCTTCATCCTCGGTTTCAGTTCTAGGCACAGCGTCCAAGACTTATTTTTGGGGTTCCTATTCAAGAGAAAAGTGGAAGGACACCTAAAACATTCATCTCACCAACCGACCCCCAACCCCGACTCTCTCCACTGTAATTGGAGGCCCCCCATGGTTCTGCAACTCTCTAAACTCTGTAATAGATATTAACATTGAATGAAAATAGAGAAGACCCTGTTAGGGGACCAGGCACACGCTACACTGGGATCACCGAGACGAAAGCGATGCCCATCAGGACCGTGCCAGTTGCCCGCACCTCTCTGGACAAAGCCCAGTCAAGAGGCAGGGGAGGCCAGAACCCAGGACCCCGTGCTGCAACGCCCACGCGTCCCAGGTAACGGTCCCCTGGTCCCTAAATACTAAGAGCTCCTTGCCAAGTGTTCGTAGGCAGCACTCGCTCTAGGGTGGACACTTTGAGGACCGCGTTTTACAGTGGGTGCAAATCAGGGTCACTTCCCTCGGGGCAGGTGGGGGCTGGCTAAGCGGCGGGCGTCCCCTGAAAGCGACTTCCCGCCCCGTCCGTCACAGGTGAGATCCGATGGAGGAGGAAGCAGGAAGGCCGGCTTCGGTCCTCCTCGGGCAGGAGTGTGGCTGAGGGACGAGATGACTTCAAAAGGAGCAGGGGTCAGTACCTCAGACAAGCCACCAGAATTCGCAGCGCGCCAAAAGCCCTCTCGGGACCCGTACGTTCATCACTCCCGCGCTAGGGGCTGGAGCAACGTCCCGCCCCGAAGGCCCAGCATGCACGGCGGCGCTCAGGCCCCGCCTCCTCGCCCCCTCGTTCACCTCCATTAGAAGCGAGCTCTGGGAGGGCGGAGGGGACCCTGAGGCGGAAGCGCGAAAAGTCTTCCAAATCGCGCCCTTGGGCTCTCGCGAGATCTTGATGACGCCAGCCCCCGCCGCCATCTTGGACTCGGGCTGAGTCATAAATTGGGCCGCCCCGAGCGCGCGCGGTCTTTTTCTCGAGGCGCCCCTCGCTCGGAGCGTGTCAGTGCGGCTCCGCCTGCCCCTCTCGGTCCTGCGGTCGGCCGTCTCCCGGCGTAGTGCGGAGCGAGGGTAGGCCCCCGCATTGCTTGTTCCTTGCCCGGCTTCAAGATGGACGGCCGCGGGGACGGGGGAGGCCGCGCTGGGGGCAGCACGTGGCGCGCCTGGCACCTGCTCCCGGGGCTGCTGGGATGGTGGCGGAGTCCACAGGGCCTCCCTCCGCTGCCGTCGGGCCCGGGAGGCCGGCGGAGGCGGGGTCGCGGCGGTGGCGGCGGCAGCCCAGCCTCTTCTTTCCTCGCACAGCCTGGCGGCCCCTGCTCGAGGCCCGCGTCGTCATGGCCGCGGTTCCCGAGTTGCTGCAGCAGCAGGACGAGGACCGCAGCAAGGTGAGGGCTCGCCCGCCGATCCGCCTTCTTCCTCGGGGGTCCTGCGGGACGCGGATGGCGCCCGCGAGCCTCGAGCACATCCTGTGGTTCCCCCAGGGAGGGCAGTGACCCTGGGCCAGTCCCTACTGTTATTTTTTTGCAGGCAAGGATTCGTTAGACTAATTTTTTAACTGCCAAAGTAATCACCTGTGCCTCGATTTTGGGGAGGTCGGGTAGGGGACGTGAAATCTACGAACCACCGTTCGGCTTGCAGTGTCCTTCCACGGGGGCGGGGTGGGGAAGCGACCTCGTTGGCAGATTCCATCAAGTCAGGTAGCCGAAGCCTGCTTTTTTGCAGCTTGACAAACCCTAGGTTCTCTTTCCCGGGGCTTGTGCACCCTGCAGTGGGGGCGCAGAACGCTTAGTGCAGCTGGGCTTGTGTATTTGATGCCTGGTGCGTCCAGGCCGCGGGCGTCTTGGTGGGAGGGCCAAGGGCCGTCTGAAGGAGTAGTTTGGATGAAAGGGAGTGGCCGTGCTGTTTGAGCAGCAGTGTCCTGGTGTCCGCCATTGAAGGAGAGCTTTGTGCCTGAAAGGGTGTTTGGGCTAGTACGTTGTATGTGTGGTTTTCTCCCTAAAAGTGTTCGGAGTACAGGTGGGCCGACCGCAGCCGGCTGTTTCTGTTAGGGCAAGGGACGTGGTGGCCTCCAGCGCTCTCCCCATGGATTGCAGGATCGGCTTCAGTGTTGGTATCATCTGTGGCCTCTTGTTTCCCTTGGACTCGTTAGCGAGGAGCTGGTTGGAAGCAGGGCAGCTGGGAGTTGAGCCGGGCCCTACAAGTATAGTTAAAAATTTTTCTATATATCTATTTTTACTGGAAAGTCAGATTTACAGAGAGGGGGCCATACAGAGAAAGATCTTTCATCCAGGGGTTCACTTCCCAAGTGGCTGCAACAGCGGCAGTTGAGCCAGTCCGAAGCCAGGAGCTTCTTCCCACTGGGTGCACGGTCCCAGGGATTTCGGCCGTTCTCTCAGGCCACAAGCAAGGAGTTAGAAGGGAAGTGGAACAGTCCAGAAATGAACCCGTGCCCACATGGGATCTCAGTGCATGCAAGGTGAGGACGTTAGTCACTAGGATACCACAGCAGGAGTTTTTAAAACTTTTTAGAAAAGAAATAGCAAGCTTGGAAGCAGTGATCATGCCCACTTCTTCCTAAGCCTGGATACTTTTCACCCTGATTGACTATGTCCTGGTTTGCTGGTACGAAAGCAACTGTTAGCTATGAGCGGTACTATGGGATTTATTGCAGACTGAAGTTTCCTGCTGCACTCTAAATTTAAATTCCAGCAGTCTATCTAGAAGGCTGCCTACATTTCCGTTCTGCCTCAGTAGCTTGTGCACAGCCAGAATCTCGAGGGCTGCATTTGTGAGTGCTACCTTATCAGTCTGACACTGATGGTGTTTTGTAGGAGATTGTCCTCTGATGTAGCCTGTTAAGCAGGAAGAGTGGCCTTTCCGTGTAGTACGTCTTCCCCCTTGCAGTGAAGTATGCACAGGCATGCACATGTCTTGTAGTGTTGGATTTTCCAGCCATTGGTTCACTCCCCACCAGAGCTTAGCTGAGCCAGTCGATTCAAAATCGGGAGCCAGAGAACTTGTTTCCAGTTGCTTGGTCCCAAAGTCTTGGGCCGTCCTCCAGTCTCCAGGCCACAAGCAGGGAGCTGGATGGAAGTTAGAGTAACCAGGGTATGAACCCATGCATGCCCACATGGAATCCTAGCCCTTACAAGGGGAGGATTGATGAATTGAGCCATTGTACTGGCTTTGAGATCTGATGTTGTGAAGTGATTGTACCAGTTGCATTACAAAGGCTAGCCTTTGCCGGTTTGCTGCAAGTTTACTCACCTCTTTGGTAGTTGTATTAGAAGCTAATTTATCTGAAGGGCAAAGTAACAGGTATCATGTTTCCACACTTTGACTGTCCAATACCTGCCACAGCCAGTCCTAGGAACACTGCCGAGGTTTCCCTTGTGAGTATCTGGGACCCAGTACTTAACACCATCAACGCCATCTGCTGCCTTCCAGGGTGTATTAATTGGAAGCCCGGATGGGAGGTGGAAGTGGGGTTTGATCACAGGCACTCCCATGCTGGCACTTAACTGCCTGTTTCACTGTGCGTTAACATAACAGTACATGTTTACATAAAGAAATTACTTTAATTGAGACAGGCATTGGCACAGCCTGGTAAACTGCAGCGTGGGATGCCTGCATCTCCATAACCAAATGTGTGGCATGGAGTCCCTCCATTGCTTCCTGTCCATTCCTGGCCTTGTCCCTGCCAGGCTCCACAGGCAGCCATTTGGGGAGTGAACCAATGGATGGAAGACAAATTGTGTTTGTGTGTCACTCTTGCTTTCAAATCAGTGAAACGTTGAAGCTTGAGTGGTTTCCTGTTTTCAGTAGAATTCACTTTTCCGCTACAGAAGGGGGTTCAGAGATGGTGTTGTGTTGAGGGACCAGCATTGGACGTTGACACCTGAGGGTCCAGATCATCACAGTGGAGGCTGAGCTGGGGGTCTCATGGGGAAGCTCAGACACATGGACTTCCCAGCTGTTCTGGACTGGGTCCCCAGGGAGGACACAGTGTAAGTGCAGAGGCCTTTCAGCTGACAGTTTGTTGGGCTGTCCCTGACTTTTTAAGGACAGATAATGAATGTAGTGAAGTGTAAGCTGCCGATGGAGGCCAGGAGAAAATCGGCTGCTTGGGTCAGTGCTTCCCCTTTGCAAGTTGATTTAATTTTCTCAGCCACTGCTTTCTGATTCAGAGACCAACGTGTGACTTTTCCCCAGGTAGCTGCTTTGGTTAACATAGAGAGCTGGGTCCAAAAAAGCATGCTTGCCAGTGTGCTGTTCAGAGTGTAGGGTACAGCACAGACACAGCAGCTCCCATCAGGGCTGCCAGGAAGCTGGTGGGTGACACTAGGGAGTTCCTGGATATTCACATCTAGACATGAGAGGTCACATTCAATCCAGACACCCAGCAGCCTTCACGTTGCAAACCGAGGCGGCCAGGGAGGTTTCAGTTCTGACCTACATGAGCCATGCTTGAGTTCTTTAGTTCATCTTGGGTTGATGATGAAGTGAAGTGAGTGTTCCTCCTCACGAATGAGTGACCGCACAGTGTGTCCTGCTGGTCATAGAAAGCTGAAGGGAGAGTTGAGGGGAGTTTGAAAGGCCTTGTGTAACCCAGGCCTTTAGTGAACTGATTTGTTTAGTTGCTAGATGGGATTCTTGGTTGTGACTTGGTTACTTGGGGTTGATCTGGTTCCATGTTCAGATTCAGCTGGTGAGTACCTGGGCTTGCAGCCTTGTGAAATGATGATTCAGTTTATCCATTCGCTGAGTGCGCTGCACCATCCTTCTTCCAAACCTCAGTTCCTGTTCTAGGAGCATGGGGCTGCGTGGCCTCCAGGCGCCCTGCAGCCAGCAGTGTTCTGCTGCCAGCTGCTGGGGGGTCTGGGCTACTGGGAGAATGGCTGGTGGTGGCAGGGGTGAGGCCCCTCGGGGCCCATCTCACCGAGATGAGTGGTAAGATCTGATCACTGGGTGCAGCCCGTCTAGCTTATTAGGCTTATGTTCAAGCAGTGTTCATTGCTGTTACCTATGTTGGTAGTCCTGGAAGTCCTTTTTAAAAGTCTTCGAGAACTAAAGTACGTTGCAGGGTGACCAGTAAGGCAGTGTATTGTAGTTAATGTGGTTTTCACGCACTAGGGCTGCAAGGGAAAGCTGGGAGAGGACACAGGTTCATTAGCCATTTAGGCAGCAGGCAGGGTTTGAGAGAAGGGCGTAGTAGCGGCACTCCTTGCGATGATACTGTGACGCAGTAGTGTGCTTGCCAAGTGCTGTCTTGTGGATTTTGACATGCAGAGCTTGTACTAGAGTGTCTGAGTTTGTATCCTGCTCATTGAGGTTCAGACAAGGTGTGAATGATAATTTCCTGCTGAAGTGGACTCTGCCAGGGTGGTCCTGACCCAGGTGGCAGGCCTCTGCTCCCGCGGGTGATGGATTGTTTTTGGGTGATTGTCCCTGGCCCTGGCTCCATAGACAGTGGAATGAAGAATAACAGCAAAATCTGCAAGTAGCATTTTGAAGGGAAAGCAGGAATGTAACTTGTGCTACCTTTCTTTTGCTTTGGCAGTGGGAACTAGAAAATCAAAGGTATCTTTATATCCCATAGTTTCCCTATAATATTCAAACTTAATGACTGTCAGACTAGCCTGCCATTCAAATTTTTCAGGGACCAGGGGTGTCTTGGAGACTGGTTGGTCAGTAGCTCTGAGCCCTGCAATGAGCTGGGTGCCCCAGCTGTTGAGCAGATGGAGAAATGGGCAGCAATATATTGCCCATCACATTTTCTTGAGCCTATATTGTGGCACAGCAGGTTAAATCACAGCTTGCAATGCCACCATCACATAAGGGCACTGGTCTTAGTCCCACTTGCCACTCCCAGTCCCATTACCTGCTAATATTACACCTGGAAAAGCAGTGGAAGAGCTCCCCAGTCACTTGATACCCTGTACATACAGAAACCCTGGTGAATTCCTAGGCTCCTGGTTCAGCCTGGCCTGACCCTCCCAGTGTTGTGGCCATTTAGGGAGTGAACCATGTGCATGAAGGATCTCTTTGTAATAGACAAATCTGTCATCTTTGCCCTGGCTTTCTTACCAGAAGCACTGAGTGCCTCTAAATAAAGTGACTCCTTCCTGAGCTGCCCGTGACTACTGCCCGTGCTGAATGGCAGGTCCTTGGGCAGTCCTGCTTCTGGTGCCTGCCTTTTCCCGAATGGCCACGTGGCGTTTTGCCATCTGCCCCAATCCAAGGAGTCGGTTTCCTTGACTCAGCTTCCAGAGGAATGCAGAACTGTGGCCCACGCTCCACTTGGTGCCTCCATAGAGAGGGTTTAAGTGCTGACTTAGAAGCTCAAAGGGTTTCACAGCCTTTTAGTCTATGCGATGTGTGCCTCACATGCAGGTTACATGCTGTGGTACAAGATAGTTCATTTAGCAAAGGAGTAGAGAACAAGTGTGGGTGCTCAAATTTTGTCATGATATTTTAGACAGTCCAAACTCGCACTGCTTGTTTCGCTTGGTAGTTGGAAGCTTTATTGAGGGGCTTGCCTGAACCCATTCTGGGGTAATGAAGCCAGGCAGAGATGGGTGTGGGGCTGTGTGGGTGCTCCAGCCTGCAGGGTTTAGATTCCTTTGTGTCTTCCTGGTCAGGGAGCGGGGACCAGAAGATAACAGTTCAGAGGAACAAAAAGTAGCTCCTACAAAGTTCTTTGTAGCTGTGCCTGATACTTGGAAGGAGTACTGTTTGCTTGGTAACACTTGCTTTTTGTGTCTTTTCAACCTCAATCTAAAAAGTAGTTCCTGTGGAGTATGTGCTGGCTCAGCAACTTTGCTAAGCTTGTAATAGAGTGTCAGCCAGGACATGTGACTTGAGGAAATGGAATTGCTGAGTTCTGGAGAAACCGTGAGGGCTGCCCTGTCTCCATCCACAAGCCTTCAGTGCTACTCTTAGACTGGGCTCATTGCTTTCCTGAGGGGGCCCCTCACCCCAGCCACACCTTTTTTTAAAAAATTGGGGAAGTGGCAGTTGTGGATTCACTTTGGCTTACATCCTGGTATTTTTGAATGGTTTGTGTGCCCAGGGGTAGCTTAGCAGAAAGAAGAAAGTTTGTGTCTGAAGTACAGGGCCCTGACCTTGAGGCTTTTGTTTTTTTTAAGATTATTTTTTATTGCCAAGTCAGACATACAAAGAGGAGGAGAGACAGAGGAAGAGCTTCTGTCCAATGATTCACTCCCCAAGTAACCACAATGGCCGATGCTGCCCTGATCCGAAGCCAGGAGCCAGGAACCTCACCCACGCGGGTGCAGGGCCCCAGGGCCTTGGGCTGTCCTTGACTGCTTTCCCAGGCCACAAGCAGGGAGCTGGATGGGAAGTGGAGCTGCCGGGATTAGAACCACTGCATCCAAGGCGAGGACTTTAACCGCCAGGCCACCACTCCGGGCCCAACCTCGAGGCTTGATGACTGTAGGTCATAGGTAGACTAGGGAAAAGTAAGCCAAACAGCAGAGTCTGTAGGAGCTACTGCGAAGTTGAAGTGTCAAGTATATTCCTATGCAGGCACGAAGGATCTTGTGGTTTTACTAATAGCAGACTTTAATTAGAACTTGGAGGTTTCCCTGAGGAAGGCCATTGTTCACAGAGTTTTACTGAAGAAAGAAAATTCATCTTAGATTAATGTGTTTTCTGCTTTATTGTGGGAAAAAATGGAATTCGGAAAGATTGTTCAGTAATCCAATTTTGTTTCAGCACTACCTTGTGTTTAAAATTTAAACTGTTCTAACCACTTTCCTTAATGGCCCAGTATAACTGGAAAATGGAGTTTTCTAGATCATAGTTTTTTTTTTCTGATTTATTTTTTCTGGCAAGGCAAATTTACAGAGAGAAGGAGACACAGAAATATCTCTCTGGTTCTCAGAGTGCCAGGGCCTCTGGTCTCCCACACAGGTGCAGGGTCCCAAGGCTGTGGGCTGTCCTCCACTGCTTTCCCACAAGCAGGGAGCTGGATAGGAAGTGGAGCAGCTGGGATGCGAACTGGTGCCTGTATGGGATCCAGGCACATGAAATACAAGGATTAGGCCACTGAGCCATCACACATTGACTTGTGTCCAAGACGGTCGCTGTCACTGGTCATCTGTAGCCACAGTGCGGTTCTGCCTTGGTTAGTGCTGGAAGTTGCCTTCTTGGCCAGCTCTAAAGTTGTCTGGAACAGTCCCCAAGTTGACTGGAGTCCTTCCCTAGATCTTCACACACATGCCACAGCAGGTGACTCCTCTCTGCCAGTCTCACCTTGTTCAGTTATTGGTAGGATTTAGTTAATCCCTCTTACCCTCCAGTCCAAGATTTTTAAAGAGGCTGATGTTCAGTCAGAATAGAGCCAGAATCTAGGGGCTGCATTCAGATCTCCTATTGAGTGTCAAGAGCCAGACCCTTCAACTCTTGTCTGGGTCTGTCCCTGATGCCTTGGGGTGGGGACTCCAGCAGCCTGCACACCATGTGGGTGGCCAACCACTCTGACACACAACTGCGTAAAGTGTGTGATAGACAGTCTTCATGACAGGTGGTTCCTTTGCCTTGGATTGGCACTTTTAAATAGTTTCCTGTTTTTGAAGGGGCTGAGACATTGGTCACTAATGCTCATAAACTGTTTCAGCTGAGATCAGTGTCTGTGGACCTGAATGTGGACCCCTCCCTTCAGATTGACATACCTGACGCGCTCAGCGAGAGAGATAAGGTCAAATTCACAGTGCACACCAAGGTGAGTGGCAGGGGCCTTCCTGGCTGTACTTGCAGTAAGCGTTGGATCCTTGTGCTGCACGGCAGCCCTGGCACTCAGGACACTGCCTGTGTGCCCTGGGCTCCACTCCTGCAGGAGCCCATCAGGCTGAGGGACGCCGAGCCCCTCCCTATAGCCCTGCTCTGGCTTTTGTTTGATCTAAGGAAAGTGTCCGTCTTCACACACTTGAGAAGTTTGGAAAATTGTCTCTCACACGACTGCTGCCTCCGATCTGGCCGCACCTCACTTGTCAAGCAGGCAACATGATTCTTTACCTGCTTTGAACTGCAAATAAACAAATGAGGCACTGTGCTGGTTGATTCTTGCATGTTTGAGCAGTCACTGCAGGCATTAGAAAAATGTGGTAAAAATGAGGTTGAGTCTTAGCAGTGACTTAATTATTTTTCTCACTTTCTTTGCAGACCACACTGCCAACATTTCAGAGCCCGGAGTTTTCTGTTACAAGACAGCATGAAGATTTTGTGTGGCTTCATGACACACTTAGTGAGACAGCAGAGTACGCGGGGCTTATTGTGAGTGTCTTCTAGAAGATGAGACAACAGCGAGTTTCGTTTTAGTGGTTTGCTGAAAGTATCTGCTCACTAGGGTACTGGTTAGTTCTTCACTGGCAGAGTGCGCCTGGGCTGAGGAGCTGTGAAGCCGCCGTGTGTGCTTGCTGTGTATACAAGCACCAGAAGAGGAACACCTGAAATCTTGACCTGTTCCTAAGTTGGTTCCTCTCAGGCTTGTGACTTTAAAGGTTTTATTTTACTGGATGCAGATATACAGAGAGGAAGATCTTCTGTCTGTTATTTCACTCCCCAAGTGGTTGCAATGGCCAGAGCTGAGCTGATCCGAAGCCAGGAGGTTCTTTTAGGGTTGAAGGCTTTGGGCTGTCATGCTCCACTGCTTTCCCAGGCCACAAGCAGGGAGCTGGAGGAGGAGTGGAGCTTCCAAGACATAAATAAGTGCCCATATGGGATCCTGGCACATGCAGGCAAGGATTTTAGCCACTAAGCTACTGTGCCGGTCTCTTTGGTGATAAGGATGAGGCTTGTCAGAAGTTCCTCAGTGGTAAGAGAGACTTGAGAGTTCTTGGCGTTAGGACCAAGGCTTTCAATGAAATTTAAATGTGTCTTGATACACACTGAATCATCTACCTGGATGACTTTTTAGTAGCTAACCTACACCGAAGCTTGTGTTTCTGAATGGCTTCCATTCCACACTAGACTACCTTGATAGTCCTTTAGAATTTGAGAAACCTCTTGATGGGTAAAGTGAACACATGGTGGGGTCACTGCCTTTTCAATGGCCAGAAGGAATGGGTAAAGAGAAGCAGCAGCGGCTTTGGGAACCTGCTGACAGGGTGTTGATGTGTTTCCTGTCTCTATTATAGATCCCACCTGCACCCACCAAACCAGACTTTGATGGACCGCGAGAGAAGATGCAAAAGCTAGGAGAGGGTGAAGGTTCTATGACCAAAGAAGAATTTGCTAAAATGAAGCAAGAACTAGAGGCGTAAGTAGGTTTTCTCGAAGTGGTGCTGTGTACGGAGCTTAGCCCTTGGCTGTGCTGCAGGGTCTGCACCCAGGGGCAATCTTTACTTGGGAGGCTGTGGCGCAGGGGAGGCTGGCTGTGTACTTCCCTTCCTGGAAGGTACCTTAAAACAGGGTCATCTCGGTTGGGGGGTGGAGGAGGAAGAAAGTTTGCTAAGGAATTTTTCAGGCTGCCACTGGTGTAGATGGGGTGCTGGAGGAGCAAGCTGGGTTACACTGAGTGCTATCAGGAGTGTTTAGATAACCACAGGGCTGCTTTAAGGAGACCTGGGACCAGAACAGCAATTGATTCTGTGTCAGTTGAGTTCTTGAACTACTACTTAGATCCGTCTTTAAAACAAGCCAAATGTGATTTCAAACCATGTAACATAAGATCTGAAAGGGCCTAGGCACACCATGGTTCACAGTAGTAACTTTCTAAGAAGATCCTTGGGCTTCTTGACTCATCTCGTCATCTTTCCCGATGAGTCAGAGTTGGGCTGGATTCCCTGTGGAGTCCCTCTGCAGCCCTGCCTTGGCTGTGTTATCAGTGGTGGTGTTCACACCCTCCCTACAGAACCATTCCACACACACACACTTGCAGGCTCAGCGTGAGCCAGCGGAGCAGAGCTAGTTTCTACCAGCTGTTGGATTTGTGCTGTGCGTGACTGGAGGAATGTTCTGAGAACACCGCGTAACAGCAGTGTTGCATGGAGTTAGCCACCTTGATCTGCTCTGGGCAGCTGCAGCTCTGCTTTCACACACGTTCCCACAGTGCAGTTACCTGATACCTGACTAGATACCAAGCTACCCACAGCGCTGTAGTCTTTACTTAATGGTAATTCCACCCGACAGTCCCGCCATGCCGACTGAAAGCTGTGTGCACGTCTCTTTGCAGTGAGTATCTCGCTGTCTTTAAGAAGACTGTGTCCTCTCATGAAGTCTTTCTCCAACGACTTTCTTCTCATCCTGTGCTCAGTAAAGATCGCAACTTTCATGTTTTCCTGGAATATGATCAGGATGTAAGGCCTTTTCATTCCATTTCCAAGATCCAGTTAAAAATGTTAAAACTGTACTTTAAAGATAACACTTCTTTTCAACACAACAGAAATGTCTTATCCATTATATGTCACTTGAAGAAAAATTTAACCTTTTGTTCTCCCAATTAGTTTGCACTCCGCTTTGCTCAGTTAAGTTTGGTAATGTCAGAGGGAACGTACATTGGTTTTCTGCTCCTACCGTGTGGAGAAAGGAGTGTCCAATTCACACTATTTTTCCTGGAGCCATGCCTTTAATTAGAAATGGTGTAAATAGGACACACATTCCAATTATACAATTACCTGATGCAATTCTCCCAAAGATTTTTTTTTTAAAACATTTATTTATTTTATTGGAAAGGCAGACGTACAGAGAGGAGGAAAGACAGAGAAGATTTTCTGTCTGATGACTCACTCCCCAAGTGACCGCAACGGCCAGTGCAGCGCCGATCTGAAGCCAGGAGTAGGGAACTTCTTTCCGGATCTCCCATGTGGGTGCAGGGTCCCAAAGCTTTGGGCCATCCTCCACTGCTTTCCCAGGCCACAAGCAGGGAGTTGGATGGGATTAGAACCGTCGCCCACATGGGATCATGGTGCGTTCAAGGCGAGGACCTTAACCATTATGCTAACGTGCCGGTCCGTTCTCCAAAGACTTTAAGAACACAAAACCTCAGCTTAGATGGTTTTTCGCAGTGTCTGAGGTGACCCTTTGGAAATGATAGCCTGTCAGCTTTAGCTGTGTATTTGATATTTTACACTTGGTGAAGACAGAATTAAAGGCACTTTATACATGTGTCCGTATAAGAGGTATTGCTTGTACTGATATTCTGAGAATCTAGAGAAATATCTATTATTAAGTGGGGGTTTTTGTTTGTTTTTTTCCTTTAGCTAAGTGTCAGGCGGAAAAATACCAAAGAGATGTTTGGTGGCTTTTTCAAAAGTGTGGTGAAAAGCGCTGATGAAGTCCTGTTTTCTGGAGTTAAGGTCAGTAGTTTTCATGTGTTCCAAAACAGTGTTTTATGTGAAGAGGTGACTTTTAATTCTGTTGGATTCTGTGACACGAATAGTATTAGTGTAAAAAGAGTATATATATATATATATTTTTATCCTTGCTTGCTTCATTTTCTCAAACTGCTATTAGAGGAGTCCACTCAGCCTCACAGGATCTGCTTTCGTGCTTGGCCGTGGTGTGCAACAGACAATGTGGGCAGCCTGGAAGCAGGACTTTCCGTGTGTGTGTGTGTGTGTGCGTGTGTGTGTGTGTGTACACGCGCAGTATGAGAGTGTGTGGAGAGTTTCATCCACCAGTCTTCTCCCTAAATGCCTGTAGTGTCTGGGACTGGTTAGGTCAAAGGCAGGACTTCAGGACTCAATCCAGGTCTCACATGGGTGGCAGATACCAGTCACTGCAACTTTCACTGCGGGAACCACCCCATGTGTCCCAACTGCTGTCTTACCACTGAGCCTCCTTCCTTGTAACTCACTGTGCGTTGTCCAGCTTGGCCACTGCAGGTTCTGAATACGGAGCCCAGACAACCTGTAGGCAGAGATGAGATTTGGGAGCTCTTGGTGCAGCTTAAGTGATTTGGGATTGCCCGTGTGTTGCAGGGTATTTGGTATCCCTGTCCATGGGCAATGATGTTTTCCAATTTTAAAACATAATAGATTGAACAGGTACAGGGATACCACCTACTTGGTAGAACCACCCGGCGGAATGGCTGGCTCGTAGGGTGAGTTGAATGATTGTTGGGGTGCTCTTCAGAATGGCTGGCTGTGTTGCTTTCTGCCAGCCTGGGGCATAAGGGTATTGTCTTACAAAGGGATAATTTTTGGGTCTGTAAGCTTATTTGCTATGATATTTCCCAGATCTTAGTTTCTGCTTCCTTTAATTTCCCCCCCCTTTAGGAGGTAGATGACTTCTTTGAGCAAGAGAAGACCTTCCTCATTAACTATTACAATAGAATCAAGGATTCCTGTGGAAAAGCTGACAGAATGACCAGATCTCATAAAAGTGAGTAGAGTGCCCTGCTAGCCACTGAGCACTTTGCTGGTGGTCCTCGCTGTGCCCATGGCAAAGGGCTGTCCTTGTTTCTGCAGATGTGGCAGATGACTATATCCACACTGCAGCCTGCCTGCACAGCCTGGCTTTGGAAGAGCCCACGGTCATTAAAAAGTAAGTTTGTTGGGAAAGCATTTCCTCGTACACCCTGATGGAGAGGAGACTGCATGATTACCCAGGCTCAGTTCTGACCTGGAATGCCTGTTGATAATCACGAGTTGTCTCCAGTCAGAGCACTCATCCTCTGTATGTGGACACCCTTTAACGTAATTTGAGGAGACCGGGAGGGTGAACACATGGACACCTGGAGCCGAGGTCAAAGCCCTGGCAGCGGGATATGCCCATCTCTTGGTTCTGGTGGATTAGGTTCCTGTGTAGGAATTGCGCTTTCCATGACAACGTACTCTGTTACTTTGGCATAGTTAACATGTGATTCAGCATGTCAGGGCTAATGGCAGAGCCATGGTACTGACTGCTCATTAGACTTAACTTTGGTTAGCAGTGGCTTGGTGGCTTGAGAGCCATGGTGGACATAGGGCGAGAGCTGCAGTTGAGGTGCTATGGGTCCCTGAGGCCGCCCAGTGCTGTGCTGTGCATGTTTTTGGAGCTGTTCCACCATTTGGGACCAACTGAATGGGTGTATTACTTGGACAGTTCTCTTAAAATATAAAGGGCTAAGGCTCCGAGTCACTGTGCCTGATGGTGTTTGCAGTCCTATAGATGATTTGAGACTTTAATCCAAAGTCATGTGTATATTTTTAGGTACCTGTTGAAGGTTGCTGAACTATTTGAAAAACTTAGGGTAAGGCTTTTGGTCCAGATCTTTAAAATGTATATTTTATATAATCTGTAGATTGTGCCTTGAATGGTGACTCTTTTTTTCAACTAGAAAGTAGAGGGTCGAGTGTCATCCGACGAAGACTTGAAGCTGACAGAGCTCCTCCGGTACTACATGCTCAACATAGAGGCCGCAAAGGTACGACCAGTCCTGCTCCAGGGTCAGGCAGGGCCCATGCCAGGGAGCTTTCCCTGTGGTCATACGGCAGTGTCTGCTCTCAAAGGCACTTGTCTGTGTAGGTGACATGTCCTCTTGGGACGTGATATTCTTGGCTGTGTGCGGTGCAGAAAAATGCTAATTTTGGAATTGCTGGTGTTTGGATGAAGGGCATCAAATTCTGTAGCAAGATTGTTCATGAGGCAGAACTGCAGTGTCGGCAGCCCTCAAATGGTGTAAGGGTGTTATTGGGAAACCAGGACTGAGTGGCAAGCAAGTAATCCTTGAGATGTTAAAGACGTGAGAAGAGGGACCAGCAGTGCCATGTGTAGTGGGATGAGGTAGGCTTAGCAGGTGGCAAGCAGCCATTGCTGGGTGCGTGAGGAACCAGCCAGCACAGTGGTGTTGCAAGTTAATCCTCCATATGCAGTGTGAACATCCCAAATGGGCACTATTTTAATCCCAAAGTAGCGGGGTATGTATGTATGAGACCCGAGGAAGGGTCCTGGCTCGGGATCAGCTACTGTAATAATTGTGGTCATTTGGGGGAATGAATCAAGAAGTGGTTTCTGCCTTTAAAATTAAACTTTAAAGAACTGAGGGGCAAGGTATAGAGAATTCTTGCCTTCAGGTGTTTCTGGTAGTGTGGCTTCATGGTTGCTGGATTGTCTTGAATTAGCTGTAATATTTTGTTTTTTTTATTTGGAGACCTGATGTCCTGTTGGATTTTTGCTCAGGACCTCTTGTACAGGCGAACCAAAGCCCTCATTGACTACGAGAACTCCAACAAGGCCCTGGACAAAGCCCGCTTGAAAAGCAAGGATGTTAAGTTGGCTGAGGCACACCAGCAGGAATGCTGCCAGAAGTTTGAACAGCTGTCCGAGTCTGCGAAAGAAGGTTGGTCCAGAGTGTTCCTGTGTGCTTATGTAACTTCACACACAATGTTACACAAGATGGAAGGGTCCACTTCAACCCTTCCATCCACCCTCTGCCTTTCAGATAAACCTCGACATGGGATGGCTCTGGGATGTGTCCTCACACACTCGCCATTTCCATTTTTGATGATTTTTCACATACTTGAATAGGGTGCAAAGGGTCAAGGGCTACAGGAAGGTGCGTGACACCATTATTTCCACATTCTCTTGTTCCTTCCTGTATGTAGGTGGGAAGGGGAGTAAGGAGAGAAGGCAGACCCAACTCCCAGCCACCTCAGTACCCTGGGATGGAAGACAGCCACCCAATGCCACTCCAGGATCCTCGCTGTGGGGCACGCTCCGAGGTCCTGCTCAAGAGGCTTTGATAGTTCAACAGTTCTGAATTACTGCTGATCTTGGCTAGGGTAGTTGATGAATTTGTTCAGTCCTCTGATTCTTAATCTTCATCTTGGACTGCTTCTTTACATTTATGAAATGCATGATTGAAAGCCATTGAAGTGAAAAATCCCAAGCTGTTAAGTAAGTCTTATAGTACAGTTAATTACTATCAGAGTGTGATAAAAACGCAAAAAAAAAAAAAAAAACGCTCTGTTTTATACAAGATAGAGATAGGAAGGTTATTCTAGGATCTATCTGCGGTGGTGAGGGCAAGTGTCACAGGAGACAAATGAATTGGTGTCAGAAAAAGGGGGTCTCCCCAAGTGCATGCAACAGCTGTGGCTGGACTAGGCCGAGCTGGCAGTGCAGTCTGGCAGGGAGCGAGCCATTAGCAGGAAGGTGTGGTGGGGGGGGAACCTGCTTCAGAAATGCTGCATCTCACACACACGCTTGCCTCAGTTACCTTTAATGAGGCTCTAGGGCAGAGGCGGTCTGCTGAGACTTCCAGCACCAGCTGGAAAAGTGCTGCTGCTAAAAGGAGTGCAGATGGCCCTTCTGCATGGTGGTTATAGTGATGGTATTTCCTTTGGACAGATTACGAGTTCTCCAAAAGTTCATGGAAAAATACTAAGAAGGAACTGACTTCACACCAAAATAAAGTTTCAGTTCCGTTTTCTGTGAACTCCTTAGACCACTTACTAGCTGGGTGTGTGCCCTTTTTTTAATTTGAAGATGATCACAAAGGAGAGATGCCTTACATGTGCTGTTTCACTCCTCAAATGGCCACAACAGCCAGGTCTGGGCTTCTCTGGGCTCTCCCATCTTGGTGCAGGGTCCCAAGCCGTGATGCTCCTCTGCTGGCATTCAAACTGGCATTCCTGGTTTTGCTGGCACTGCAGGGGAAGGGTTTGTTTGCTACACCACTGCACCAGCCCATTAACTGTTTTTAATGTTTATTTTCTACAATGGCTGCAATTACAGTATTCTAGCATCTGTGGCAAGGGTTCCTTCCCTGTGCTTCAATTTCACATGCTTAATCACACCTGTCTTTCTTCCGGTGTAGGGTATGGTGGGTTTAATTTGCATTTCTCTAGTGGGCAGCGCTATTGTTTTACATGGACTCGTTGTTGATTTGCACCTAGCCTGAGATGAGTTTTCACGTTTTCAAAGATGTTGGTGTCATTAGCCTGGTTGTCCACCACCTCCACACAGCTGAGGCTCACAAGGGCCCCTGAGGTCTGCTCCCCCTAACTCAATGTTTGTGTTACTGGGTGCTTGTCTCCACTGAAAGGCATGCCAGATGCCCTTTCACAGGTGTCCCTGCTCCATGCTGCCGCTTACAGAGATAAAACAGTGTGGGGGTTAGTAACTTTCCTTGGCTTTGTAAACTTAACCTCTTACCTCTTCTTCCTGTAGAACTGGTAAATTTCAAGCGGAAGAGAGTGGCCGCATTTAGAAAGAATCTAATTGAAATGTCTGAACTGGAAATAAAGCATGCCAGGGTAAGTAATTTCTTTCAAGTCAGTAACTTTTTTAGGGTTTTAAGAATTATTTACCATCCAGCATTGCCTATAGACGAGCATCCTGGAGCTGCCTGCCTCTCCTCCCAGCTCCCAGGCAGCCACTGCAGAGGCCTGTGTGGGGGTCTCAGCGGTGAACCCCTGGAGACGGAAGCAGCTACCTTCTAGTTTACGGAGTGGCTTGTGATACTCCATTTGGTCTAGAAAGTGAGACTGGTTTTGTGCATTGTGTGTCTGACTCCATTCAGCATGCAGATGGTGGAGAGCGCTTCTTCTCCGGGCTTCCTGCACTTTTGTGCTGCGGTGGTTCTCTCTGGAGGCAGATAGATCTTCAGCTCCAGGGGCTCATCCCTGCGTCTCCCACTTGGTTGGCAGGGCAAGCTGGTGCTTGAGCAATCTTCCATGGTTTCCCAGCTCATTGGGGAGCTGGAGCAGAAGGAACAACCAGAACTCAATCACTGGCACTCAGGGATGTCCGGGTCACAGGCAACAGCTTAACATGCTGCCACGCAGTGCCAGTCCCACCAGCAGCTAATTTTTAGCAGCTTTTAATCTAGCTTTTCCAAATCCATCAACTTCATAGAACTTATGTTGCATTTATGTTGAAATTTAAGGAATGAGAGTAAGCAGAATTGGCTTGATTGTGTCTGCTAGTTGATGGGTATACATCAGAGGTGCTGAGCCTGTTGATGGGGACTTCTGGCTGCTGTGGCTCTAGTGTTGGAACTTCATTAGTTATTAATGAAGGAACTTGGCTTTGCTGGTGCTGAGCCTTGTGGGTGCAGCTGTGTCTGGGTTTGTGTGTCACTGTACAGCAAAGCTGAAGACTGGCTTTTTGATGTTTTCCAGAACAACGTCTCCCTTTTGCAGAGCTGCATAGACTTGTTCAAGAACAACTGATCTACCCTTCCTCTGAAGGAAGGAAATGAATGTGAAGAAAACCAGCATCACTTGCACTTAATCATTACCATGGAAGATTTATTAACCTTGACTTTAGTTAAAAAAAAATTATGTGAAATATTTTTGATTTCTAAAAATCTTAACACTTAAACCATGTTGGTTTAAGATATTTCTATTGCATGCTATTGGGACATAACTAATCTCTTCCTTATGCATCAATACCTCAAAGTGGGTAGGTCTAAGTACTGGATTCTTCTGTAGTTTTGTCATTTGTTACAAGAGGGTGTAGGAGACATGTGCCTTCTGGAAACAAATGCAGGCAATCGCCGGCACGTGCTCTTGAGGTCCACGTGCTCGGGTCCTCACACACCAACCTAGTCAGCAAGGCGCCGTTACACAAGTAGGTAACAGACATTCCATTGTTGTACTACATTATTCTCTGTCCCTCATGGTTCTTTAGTCATCCAGAGTGTTTGTACTAGAACAGTCTCGGATAAATCTTTGTATTCCCCTTGCAGCTCCATTTTTGTAGTTGAGATTTGAAATACCTAAGGGGAAATGTGTCCTTGGGTACGCACGGCGACAAATGTGGCTACAAGAAGATGGGAGCTCCCTGCCTGCCATGCTGGGGGCGCGGGTGGGCTTGGTCTTCAATAAAGCATACGTAAGAGACTGTGTTCCTGTGTGGGGTGTCTCTGTGCACTATAAAGCAAGGAAGGCAGTGACAGCTGAGGATGTCTTTGGCCCAGTGTCCTGTGAGCTCCTGTTCTTGTCCGAGTTGGCCTGGGGGAGTATGGCTGTCCTTGATTACTCCTGATTCGATTCTGCATGTCAGGTCCTGGGGCGTGTCTTTGGGAATAACTAAGCTCCTGTGTATTAACTAGAAATAAGTTGTTACACCCAACCCTCCTCCTTACTTTGGAAACATGTACCTGAAAGGCAGACCATTTGGGTCTGAACCAAACCAAAACCAGGAGTCTGATTGTGGTCTTGTGTAAGTAGTGGAGACTTGGGTTCTTGAGCCGTCATCTACTGCTACCCAAGTGCACTAACAGCCCTGGACAGCAGGATCACAGGCTGGCCAGAGCAGCAGCTTAGCTCACTGCGCCACTGACTGTGGTGCTGGCCACAGTGCAGGCAGTATGTGCTTGAGAAACGAGCTGAAAGCTGAGTGGGTTTTTAATTAAGCATAGCAATTGGGATTCCTGTCCAGGTTTTATTGATGTTTACACAGAAGTGTGCATGACCATGTGGACCACCGATTAGGGTGGGGATGGTTGAGGAATGGGAGAAGTAGATGACAAAACAGTTTCCGAAGGGCCACTCCAAGCAGCCCAACCACATCATCTGCCCCAGGATGGGGGCTGGCCACCCGATGCTATGGAGCATGTTCTGAGGTACTGCTCTGGTAGTTTGAGTAGTTCTGATTTGCTGTTCATTTTGTTGCTCCAAGCTTGAGGAAATCCAACTTATGCTCACCAGTAAGAGCTATGGTCCACCATGGGAGCTCCCCCACCAGGCCCACCCCAGTCTAGATGTCACATGTGCCAGCGAGTGTTGGGCCCTTAACTTGGCACAGTCTGCCTTTGTGCGTGCCAGTGGATGTTGCAGCCCAGCTGAGGGTGGACCACCCCAGCCTGTTCCTTACCCCAGGACCCATGAGTGTATGTAGGTGAGTTCCATGGTTATTAACTCATCCTGTCAACACCACCAACCCTTGAACAATCCAGCTGAAATGGCAGTCCCACAGGAGTGAGCCCACAATTCCCACAGAATCTGTTTCCGCAATTCTCTCGCATGCTGGTTAATGTCATGGTCTGGCCCGAGTTGGTCCTTTCCCTGCGCTGACATTCAACTGGCAGGTGCTATGGTTGACCCCTCCCTGACAGTCCCCCACCCCCAAGCCATGACTTCTGTGTGTCCCAGTAGGCATTGGTTGATACCAACAAGCCCAGCTCAGGTCTCCCTTGTTAGGTGGGTAAGTACTGGTTCAGCCCTTAAAGGTCCTCCAGCACCTACAGTACCCCTCACTTCCATTGCAGGCTTCTCCTTGCCTACCTCGTGTACAAGGTCAAGGGTGTTTTTTGTCCATCACCAGTGAGTTACCACTTTTACCTGCCTTATACAGTGCACTCGTGGCAGTCACAGTCACATTGTTGCAGGAACTTGCAGAAGTGGCCCACACTTCAGAAACACCTGACATGAGGCTGATTGGAGGTTGATTAGATATTTGGCTTTCTGTTGGGGTTAGATGAGTACACTGGAGCTGATGCCAGCCAGGGTGACCTGGGCCCAAGCACAGAGCAGTCTTCTAGTCAGTAGATGGAATTGGCTGGTGTGTGTGTGAAAGATTTATTTCTACTGGAAAGGCTGATTTACAGAGAGGAGAGACTGATCTTCCATCTGCTGGTTTGCTACCCAAGTGACTGCAACAGCTGGAGCTGAGCAGATCCAAAGCTACCAGCTTCCTCCATGTCTCCCAAGCAAATGCAGGGTCCCAAGGCCGTCCTTGACTGCTTTCCCAGGCCACAGGCAGGGAGCTGGAAGGGAAGTAGAGCAGCCAAGACAATGGGATCCTGGCACATACAAGATGAGGATTTAACCACTGAGCCAGGCCTGGAATTGGCTTCTTACAGCTCCGTTTTTGGGTTCGTGTTTTCTGCACAGATGGCTGGTGTTCCTCCAGGAAGACCCTTGGTGTGCACAATTCCTATGGAACACTTCCTGTGGCATTCTGGAAGCAACAAGTGGGTGGTGTGTCCCCACCAGCTGGAACTTGGGGCACCTGCCCTAACACAGGGGAGAAGCCACTGTAGTGACCTGCACACCGCGGGAAGAGGGAAGCGCCAGTCCAGGTGCTGCTTGGTTGCACCTGTTTTCCTGGGTCTCCACATTTTTGCTTTTTATCGTGACTGCTAGGGTTACTTGAACTCAGGCCCAGGCTTGGCCCAGTGTGTGGAGGTTGAGGTGCTCCTGTGGGCAGCCTTCTGCCTGTAGGGGGCAGAGGTAACCCAGAGTAGCCATCCACCCCTCAACTGGTGGGGTGCCCCATGCCCTGAGAAGGCACCTGAGGGTCTTACCAGCTGCTGCCGCCCTCAACCTGCTGCGAAGGTACTACCTGAAGCTGGAAAGGCAGGGTTGGTGCTCGGTCAGCAGTTCTGGATGGGTAGTGTTCCCCAGGCCTTCAAGGCCCAGGAAGGGGGATTGGAGTTCTGACAAGACAGATTTCCTTGTCTAGCTCCTGTTCCAGGAACTCATTGTCTGGGCCTGATGTCAAACTGCTGAGGAAATGAGGGTTCCAAGCCAGACCATGTGATGTGCTAGGAGGCCCACAGCTGGGCGGTGGCTGGTTACAAACTGCAGACAACTGGCTGGGGACGAAGATCCAGGGGCTTCCTGCAACTACTGCCCTTGACTGGGTGTGGCACCATTATGGAAGTGAATAAGCTACAAAGCTAGAATCCCCTTGCAGTGTCAAATGTGTAATTTGAATTTGAATGCCAGAAGCTGTTCAGATTGTGCCCGCAGTCTTCGTTCCTGGTCTGCAGCTGTCAGTGTTGTCTCCCTTTGCCATAGTCTTCATGGGGACTCATAAAGTGGTTTTTCAGAGTGCCCTCTGGCAGCCCTTTGGCTTGCTTGTCCACAGCTGTGCTGGGAGGACCTTGGCTTTCGTTGGGCCTTACCTTGTGTGTGTGCTCTGGCCAAGCTCCTGTGAAGCATGTGATGCTCCAAGCCCCCAACAAAGAGCCTGCCGCTCAGCCCACTGCTGGCATCCCGTCAGGTGGGAGGGCACTGGCACACAGGGAGGGCTAGGTATTCCTCAAGCTGACGTGGAAGGCTGGCAGCTGCCTGTCACTGCCTTGCTTTTTAACTGCACGTTGTGGAATAAGGGGTTATGTGTTCTTTGCCATGTCCCCTTCATGTTGCAAAACCGCAGGTCAATCTGAAAACTAAGCAGTGTCCCAGAATAGCTGAGGAAAGTGCTGCTGAGCCCACGTCGGCAATCATCCCCAGCTCCTGTGTCCCCTCTGGCTCCCTGTGGTGTCCCCAGGCTTCCTGTGATCCTCCTGGGCTCCCTGGGGTCCTCCGTGGCTCCCTGCAGGCATTCCTGGCTCCTGTGATGCTCCTTGACTGCTTGGGGTCCTCCCCAGCTCCCTCTTGCCCCACTCTGCCCAACTCAGGGAGCACATCAGCAAGGATGGGACGTTTGGAGCTGGAACCTGCAGCTAGATCCAGAGGTGACTCCTAGACCCAGCTGCTCCTTGCGTTTGCTGACGGTAGTGTATTCCCAGCATTCCATTGTTGGGGTTGCAAAGCAGCTAGTGGCCCTGCATTTTTGTGGGAGCAGGAGGTTCTGAGGGGGACCCCAAGAGGAGCCAGTTTCAGATTCAGATTTTTAAAACCCCTTCCTTCCTTGGACACAGCTGGCCTCTGCCTGCGTGGCAGGTCAGTGTGTGAGAAAACGGGAGATGCCAAGCCTGCGGCTATGAGCTGTGAAGCCAGCAGGGCATGCACCGTGCTTTCCAGCAGTCTGGTTTGTGTCCGTGGCACTTTTGATTCTGTTTGTCCCTGGCTTGAAGCGCTTACCGCACTGGGAGAGGGCTGAGGGATGGAACTGCCCAGTCGTGGTTTGCCTCAGCTGAAGGGAGCTGCTACTTTTTCGGGGCCCTCACTGGGGTGAAATCACGGCAAGTGGGATATGTAGGCCAGGATCTGCAGGCCAACTCCTCCAGTGCCAGTGCCTTGGCTGGGGTCTGATTTCATTCTGGCTCAGGGCTAGATATTGCCCACATACACCCTTGTTGTTTCTCAGGCACACAGCAGGCATCAGGATCTTCTTAGAGCAAAGATCAGATTGGTCCCTCCTCTGAAAACACCCTCCATCACCTTCCCATGTGGCTCGAGCCAGCCCGCTTAGCTTGACAGTCCCTGCCCAAGATCCCGTTTACAGTGGTGTCGGTGACTATTGGTTGTCCTGGTGTTTGTGTAGAATGGCTCCTGTGCCAATCTTGGCAGGGGAGGAAGTGTGCCTTCTCTCTGGGGAATGGGTGGGCTTTAACGAGACACACGTGTAAGCTGTAAAGGAGACACAGGCAGACAGCACTATTCTCTCCTTGTCACTTTGTTACTTACCCTTAAGAACTTGTTCACTCCCAGGAAACAGGTTTACTTCTCTTTAATGTATCTGAGTCACACCCTTCCTTCTCCTGCTTTAGGCACCTTGTCCTTTGGACCCGTGCTGGGTGATAGTGTAACAGAGTGATCAACAAGGCTGTGTGACTCAGGGCTGGTGGCACACGTAGGCAGGCGGCTGTGCAGGACAGATGGCTGCTCAGCAGGGTGGGGTGGAGAGGACCAGTGCGGCACAGCCTGGGATTTCATCACGTGACTCAGCGCTAGAAACTTGTTTGTAGAGTTTTCCATTTAATGTTTCCGAAGGCTTGGTAGACCATGGGTGACTGGCAGGGAAATTAGAATGACTGTTATGCTGTAATTCCTTATCAGATCCCTTGCTATGAGCCAGGGTTGTGGGGCAGTGGGTTACACGCAGCCTACTGTGTCTGCTTCTCACCTCTGATCCGGTGTGATTGCTGCCGCACCTAGCACCTGGTCCCCTACCCTCTGAACAGGAGGAGACATGGCTTCAGCCTAGCCTGTCCTGCCACGGAGGCCATTTGGGGGAGTGAACCTTTCTATAACTCTGCCTTTTAGAGAGATTAAGTTTAAAAAAAAAAAAAAAAGAAACAAAACAGTGACGGGCCTGGTGCAATGGCTCAGTGGCTAAATCCTCATCTTGCAAGTGCCGGGATACCATATAGGCACTGGTTCGTGTTCCAAATACTCCACTTCCCATCCAACTCCCTGCTTATGGCCTGGGGAAGCAGTCGAGGATGGCCCAAAGCCTTAGGATCCTGCACCCACATGGGAGATCTGGCTGCTGGCTTTGGATCAGCTTAGCTCCAGCAGTTGCAATCACTTGGGGCGTGAACTGGCAGATTGAAGATCTTTCTGTATCTCCTTCTCTTTGTATGTCTGCCTTTCCAACTAAAACATATCTTTTTTTAAGATTTACTTATTTTTATTGGGAAGGCAGATATACAGAGAGAAGGAGAGCAGGAAAGACAGTAAGATTTTCCATCTGCTGGTTCACTTCCCAAATGGCCACAGTGGCTTAAGTTGAACCAATCTGAAGTCAGGAGACAGGAGCTTCTTTCAGGTTTCCCACACAGGTGAAGGTCCCAGGGCTTTGGACCCTCCTCAACTGCTTTCCCAGGTCAGCAGCAGGGAGCTGGATGGAAAATGGAGCTGCCAGGATTAGAACCAGCACCCATATAGGATCATGGCGCTTTCAAGGCGAGGACTTTAGCTGCTAGGCCATGCTGCCGGGCCCAGTTGATTTCTTTAGAGTAGATTTATATCAAAGTATTTCATTTTTTGGAGTCGCCCCATACAAACAATTTTAGTTTCAGATCCTCCTTTTCATGAATTTTTGTATATTAAATTTGTTGATTTCTTTTTTTAAGATTTATTTTATTTTTATTGCAAAGTCAGATATACAGAGAGGAGGAGAGACAGAGAGAAAGATCTTCCATCCGATGATTCACTTCCCAAGTGATCGCAATGGCTGGTGCTGAGCCGATCTGAAGCCAGGAGCCAGGAACTTTTTCCAGGTCTCCCAGTGGGTGCAAGGTCCCAAGGCTTTGGGCCATCTTTGACTACTTTCCCAGGCCACAAGCAGGGAGCTGGATGGGAAGTGGAGCTGCCGGGATTAGAATCGGTGCCCATATGGGATCCTGGCATGTTCAAGGCGAGGACTTTAGCCTCTAGGTCCTGCGCCATGTCCAAAATTCATTAGATTTCACATGGTAATATTTTTGAGAAATTTTGCATGTTTTTAATGCAACACGTTGTTTTGTAATTCTCTTCTAGAAATGTTGCTGTTCCTGTTTTGCCTTGTAGTGTGAATTAGAAAGCAAGAGTGTACTTAAAAAAATGTATGGGGCCCGGCGCGGTGGCACAAGTGGTTAAGGTCCTCGCCTTGCACGCCTGGGATCCCATGTGGGCGCTGGTTCTGTCCCGGCGGCCCCGCTAACCTTCCAGTTCCCTGCCTGTGGCCCGGGAAGGCGGTCGAGCACGGCCCAAGGCTTTGGGACCCTGTACCTGCGTGGGAGACCCGGAAGAGGCTCCTGGCTTCGGATCGGCATAGTATCGGCCGTTGTGCTCACTTGGGGAGTGAATCATCGGACGGAAGATCTTCCTCTCTGTCTCTCCTCTCTGTATATTCGCCTTACCAATTAAAAAAAAAAAAAAAGTATGGCTAATCCTCCACCTGCAAGTGCCAGAATGCCATATGGATGCCAGTTCATGTCTAAGATACTCCTCTTCCTCTGCAGCTCCCTGGGAAAGCAGTAGAGGATGGCTCAAAGCCTTGGGAGCCTGCACCCACGTGGGAGACCCATAAGAAGCTCCTGGCTTCTGGCTTCGGATCGGCTCAGCTTCAGCTGCTCTGGCTATTTTGGGAGTGAACCAGTGGATGGAAGATATTTCTCTCTGTATCTCCTTCTCTGTGTAAATCTGCTTTTCCAGTAAAAATAAGTAAATCTTTTGTGAGCAGTTTTTGTAATCTTAACTTTGGCTCAACTTTGAAGGGGGAACCCAGACTCACTGCCCACGAAGCGATCTCTCTCACAGCCTCGGGACCAGGAAGTGAGGAGTCGTCCGAGTTGCCCGTGGACCTTCATCAGGAAATGAGCCCACGTCTCAGAGCCTCCCCGAGCATGCGCCATGTGTGCTGGTGCTGAGTCTCGGGCCTCACAGCTGCTCCTTTCACTTCCCGATTTCTTTCATTGCCTGAGCATCTCAGCATGGGCCATCTCCAGGGATTTACATTGCAGCTCAGCAGACTGGACTGCCACCTCCATTTCCATGTTGAGTCTTGCATCTTTAAAAATCATGGCCTGGCCGGCATTGTATATGAGCACCAGTTCATGTTTGCTTCCAATCCATCTCCCTGCAAATGCACCTGGAAAAGTCTCAGATAATGACCCATGTCCATGGGACCCTGCCACCCGTGTGGTAGACATGGATGGAATAAAAGATAAAAAATAAAAATAGAAAAATAAAAGATAAGAAAGGGTTGAGTGATGGCTCAACCAGCTAATCCTCTGCTTCAAGTGCCAGAATCCCGCCTGGATGCTAGTTCATGTTCCCTACACTCCACTTCCCATCCAGCTCCCTGCTTGTGGCCTGGGGAAGAGAATGGCTCAAGTGCTTGGGACCCTGCGCACGCATGGGAGACCAGAGGAAGCTCCTGGCCCTTAGCTTCGGATCGGCTTGCTTCTGGCAGTTGTGGCCATTTGAGAAGCGAAGCAACAGGTGGAATATCTTATCGTCTCTCTCCGACTTTCCAATAAAATCTGCCTTTCCAATTAAAAAAAATCTTTTTTTTGAAAGATTTATTTATTTATTGGAAAGTCAGATATACAGAGAGGAGGAGAGACAGAGAGGAAGATCTTCCGTCCAATGATTCACTCCCCAAGCGAGTGCAACGGCCGATGCAGCGCCGATCCGAAGCCAGGAGCCAGGAACTTCTTCCGGGTCTCCCACATGGGTGCAGGGTCCCAAAGCTTTGGGCCATCCTCGACTGCTTTCCCAGGCCACAAGCAGGAAGCTGGATGGGAAGTGGAGCTGCCGGGATTAGAACCGGCGCCCATATGGGATCCTGGGGTGCGTTCAAGGTGAGGACTTTAGCCACTAGACCACGCCGCCGGGCCCAAAAAAATCCTTAAGAAAGATCTGAAAATCAGTAATCTAGGCTTTCACAGTAGGAAACTTCTCAAAGAAGAAATTCAGAGTAAACAAGAAAATAGCAGAAATAAATGAAATTGAAGCTAAGAAATGTACAGAAAAATTAATTAAACCAAGCATTTGTTTCACTGAAAAGATCAATACAATAAACAGATCTCTAGCTAAGAAAGAAATAAGGAGAAATCGCATCAGTTGCATCATTTCTTCCAGAAGGCAGGTAGAAGGAGCAGGAAGGATCTTCAAACGTTCATGGTAAATGCATATTAGGAAAAAATGCAGAGATTTGCACAAAAATAAACTTACTTTTTCTGCAAGCTTTTTTTTAAAGATTTATTTTATTTTGATTGCAAAGGCCGATTTACAAGGAGGAGGAGAGACAGAAAGATCTTCTGTGCACTTATTCACTCCCCAAGTGGCCTCAAGAGCTGGAGCTGAGCTGATCCAAAGCCAGGAGCCAGGAACTTCCTCCAGGTCTCCCATGTGGGTACAGGGGCCCAAGGCTTTGAGCCGTCCTCGACTGCTTTCCCAGGCCACAAGCAGGGAGCTGGATGGGAAATGAAGCAACCGGGACACGAACTGGTAACACATATGGCCTTCTGGTGCATGTAAGGCAAAGATTTTAGCCACTAGGCTACTCTGCTGGGCCCTAGTTATTATATATTTGTAGAATATGGAACACTTCACAAATTTACATGTCATCCTTGCACAGGAGCCATGCTAATCTTCTCTGTATCATTCTAACTTTAGTGTATGCGCTGCCATAGTGAGCATATGATTTATTTATTTTTATTTGAAAGGCAAATTTACAGAGGGGAGGAGAAACAGAGGGCCTTCCATCCAGGCCCACTGCGATGGCTCAATGGTTATATCCTCACTTTGCCAGCACTGAAATCCCATATGGGCGTCAGTTCATGTCCCAGCTGCTCTACTTTCCATCCAGCTCCCTGCCTGTGGCCCGGGAAAGCAGTCAAGGACGGCCCAAAGCCTTGGCACCCTGCACCACGTGGGAGACCTGGAAGAGGCTCCTGGCTTCAGATCAGGTCAGCTCTGGCTATTGTGGCTACTTGGGGAGTGAACCAGGGGAAGGAAGATCTCTGTCTCTTCTCTGTAAATCTGATCTGCCTTTTCCAATAAAAATAAATAATTTTTTTTCTTCTGAAAAAGCAAAATAACAAGAACAAAATAAAACCAGGGCAGCCCTGAATACCTCTGGAATTTGTGACAGCAGATAGCAGATCTCTGCCACTCTCCCTTTCCAGATGGTGTGTATTGTACCAACAACTTCTTCAGGGTTAATATTGTTGCAATAAACTCTCAAGGCTGCGCACTCAAAGAGGAAACCCTGGGACACTGGGCACCCCCAAATGCAGGTTTATGGGAATGAAAAGAGGCCCCGGATAATAGATCCAATGAAGCAAACTAGTTTTCTCGGAACAGCCTCTGCTGGGAGGGGTCTCCTGCAGATCAGGTGCCCACACTGCAGACATTGCTAATTAGCTCTCGCCTGCATCACAGCCTCTCATCTGGGTCGCTTATTTCCCACCTTCTCCCTTTGAGCCTGGCAGATTCAGGCTGCGTTCCCTGGAGTAGCAGTCCATTTATCATACCCTTCGAGCTGCTCTGCACTGGGTGGGCCGGGCAAGCTCAGGCAGCTGGCGGTGTGGGATCTCCTGGTCCCCGTGCTGCATTGCCAGAGCTCAGCAGGAGAGGGCGCTGTTTTCAACGCTGGGCCTTCATCCTTGGATGACAAGCCAACCTGTGTGCTGGGTGCAACTGGGGCCCTGACTTTCCTCCGGGGACCTGCAAGGTGTCTGAGCAAGCCTGGTCTTGCGGAGAGCTGGGCTCAGCTGGCTGCTCCTAAGTTTGTCCCTGCTGCCGTGGGAGCTGACGAACGGTTCAGGCGGTGAATCCATGGAGAGCCCTGGGCAGGGGCCCTTTGGGTGCCAGTGAGCAGTGAGCGTTGAAGTTATTGCCAGTGGTCCCCAGGAATGGGACAGTTTTAGATCTGTAGCAGCATTAGGCTGAATTTCCAAATGATTGTTTAATGTATGCAAGCTGCTGGAGTTTTCAGCTGTGCTTACATCAAGTGTGACCACCCAAGACTGCAGCTTAGACTCATTGAGGCAGAATTTATGTACAGTAAGATGTACATATCTTGAACAGACAAGAGAGTGAATGTTAAAAAAATTAGAGAAACAGACCTTTCACCCTTTGGTTTACTCTGCAAATGGCCACCATGGCCAGTGCTGGGCCAGGTAGTAGCCAGATTTTTCTGGGTCTCCTACATGGATGTGGGGCCCAAGCACTTGGGCCATCTTCTGTTGCTTTTTTTTTTTTTTTTTTAAGATTTATTTTTATTGCAAAGTCAGATATACAGAAAGGAGAAGAGACAGAGAAAGCTCTTCTGTCTGATTTGCTCCCCAAGTGACTGCAATGCCCAGTGCTGACCCAAATCTGAAGCCAGGAGCTAGGAACTTCTTCCAGGTCTCCCACACAGGTGCAGGGTCCCAAGGCTTCGGGCCATCCTTGACTGCTTTCCCAGGCCACAAGCAGGGAGCTGGATGGGAAGCGGGCTGCTGGGGTTAGAACTGGCACCCATATGGGATCCTGGTGCATGCAATGCAAGCCTAGCTGCTAGGCTGTTGTGCCAGGCCCAGATTTTCCTGGTTTCTTTCTGAACGAGACTGAGTTATCACAGCCATTTGGGGAAGGAACCAGCAGAGGGAAGGTTCTACGTTCCTCTCCTCATTCTTTGCCTCTTCTCCAGCTCCGTGCATGCTGTCTTCTTGCTTCCTCTCCCGTTTTCACTCTCGTCACTCTTAGACCAAACACCAACTTTGCAAGTCAACTCTTGTTACCACATTCTAGGCTTTCACGGAGAGGGCTCTGTACCGAGGGGCAGGCATGGCGCAGCGGGCAAGTTGCATCCTGTATTTGGAGAGACTCATTCAAGTCCTGGTTATCTGGGCTTGGGATCCAAGGTCCTGCTAATGTGCAGCCTAGGAGGCAACCAGGGTAGTGATGGCTCAAATCCTGAGTCACTGCAGCCAGCCCTGGCTATCCCCAACATCTGTGAATCAGCAGATGGAAAATCTCTGTCACTTTGCCTTTCAAATGAAAAAGATTTTAAGAGGGCCCAGCGGCGTGGCCTGGCGGCTGGGGTCATCACCTTGAGCGCACCAGTGTCCCATATGGGTGACGGTTCTGGTCCCGGCAGCTCCACTTCCCATCCGGCTCCCTGCTTGTGGCCTGGGAAAGCAGTCAAGGACAGCCCAAAGCCTTGGGACCCTGCACCCGTGTGGGATACCCGGCGGAGGTTCCTGGATCCTGGCTTTGGATTGGGCATAGCATCAGCCATTGCGCTCACTTTGGGAATGAATCATCGGATGGAAGATCTTCCTCTCTGTCTCTCCTCCTCTCTGTATATCTGACTTTCCAATAAATAAATAAATCTTTCAAAAAAAAAAAGATTTTAAGAACTATTTTGTTTATTTCAAATATCTTTTATTTGTTTGAGAGATAGAGTTACAGAAAGAGAGAAAGAGACCTTCTATGCATTAGTTTACTCCCTAAATAACTACAACACACTACAGCCAGGAGCCAGGAGCTTCTTCTGGTCTCCTGCATGGGTGCAGGGGCCAAGCACTTGGGTCATCTTCCACTGCTTTCCCAGGTGCATTTGCAGGGAACTGGATTGGAAAAGGAGCAGCCAGGACTTGATATAGGATGCCAGTGTTGCAGTCGGCAACTTAACTCATTGCACCACAGTGCCAGTCCTCAAAATGTTTTAGGGTTACAGCAGGGATCTGCATTAGAAGTAGAGCAGCTAGGATGTCGGTGGGGGCATAACCTACTGTACTGGCCTTGCCCTTTTTGGCCATGGAATGCAGGACAAAGAGAAGCAGTCTGCAGCGCTGCTCATCCCTAGCCCTCTAACTTGAGCTTAAGACACCTTGGGACTCTCCGGTCCTCCATTCACACATTCTCGCATTCTTGAATAATGTTTGGGTCAGTGAAGTTGGAAACAGCAAATCCCTTCTCGACACTGACTTTTGATCAGCTCTGTATCCAGTTGCAGAAACAACTCAGTCAATAAAACAAATAGCCTGCTGATGGTGGAGTCCTGGTCTGAGCAGAACTAATGGGCTACTCGTTTATTGAGACAAGCACCTAACATCTGGTGTGTGTCTCCTGGGGTCCTGCCTTGCCATAGGCCTGAGGGCTACGATGCTGGAGACTTCAGACTGCGGTTGGACAGTTTCTCTGGCCCATCTCCCCTTCCAGGTCCCTTGTCCATGACCCCGTCCTGCTATGGGCATTTCCCCCGCTCTTGCGGATCCCCTGGTACCACTGAAGGAACCCAGTCTGGCCAATTCCAGTGTCCTGTTGTGCTAGGTTGTAATTCTAGGAGCTACCAGTAGGTGTCACCCTCTAACATCTGATGCTCCCACCACTGATCTTTTGGTTCCTGTATAACAGTGAAGTCATTTTTGTGGAATTGAACTTTTACTTTTATAAAATAATAATAGTAATAATAATATATTTATTATTTATTTGAAAGTCAGAGCTACAGAGAAGGGGAGATACAAAAAGAAAAATCTTCCAAGAAGTGGTATACTGTTAGGTTGGCTGGAACAGCCAGTGCTGAGCAAGGCCTAAGTCAGGAGCTTGGATCTTCTTCTGGGTCTCCCTCGTGGGTGGGTGCAGGGTCCCAGCACTTGAGCCATCTCCACTGCTTTCCCAGGCGGTCAGCCGGGAGCTGGTTCAGAAGTGGAACAGGCCTTGTTGTGATGGCTCAGAGTCTAAATCCTAGCCTTATATGCAATGGAATCCCATACGAGTGCTGGTTCATGTCCTGGCAGCTCCACTTCCCATCCAGCTCCGTGATTGTGTCCTGGGAAAGCTGTGGAGGATGGCCCAAAGCCTTGGGATCCTGCACCTGCATGGGAGACCCAGAGGAGGCTCCTGACTCCTGGCTTCGGATTGGGTCAGCTCCAGTGTTGTGGTCATTGGGGAGTGAACCAGCAGATGAAAGAGCTTTCTCTCTGTATCTCCCTCTCTGGGTGGGTCTGTCTTTCCAAGAAACAAAAAATATTAAAAAAAAAAAAAGCTACCTTTGAGTGAGAAAAAATAAAGGCACCTTAACAAGTAAAGGGTATTTGAAATTCGTGGAAACAACTTTGTCTCATTAAGTTGCTTCCCTCCCTCTCCCTTTCCCTCCCTCTCTCTTTCTCTCTCACTGGAAAGTCCAATATGCAGAGAGGAGAGAGAGAGAGGAAGATCTTCTGTCTGATGGTTCACTCCCCAAGTGAGTGCAACGGCTGGAGCTGAGCCAATCCGAAGCCAGGAACCTCCTCTAGGTCTCCCACATGAATGCAGGGTCCCAAAGCTTTGGATTGTCCTTGACTGCTTTCCCAGGCCACAAGCAGGGAGCTGGATGGGAAGCAGGGCTGGCAGGGATTGGAATTGGCACCGATATGGGGTCCTGGTGCACAAGGCAAGGACTTTAGCCACTAGGCTACCGTGCTGCACACCCCCCCCCCCCTTTTTTGGAAGGCAGAGCAGAGAGCTAGAGACGATGCAGATGATAAACACACAGATTTCACCTTCTGGTTCATTCCTCAAATGCCTACAGAAGCTGAGATCTCGCTAGGCCAGAGCCTGGAGCCAGGAACCCGGTGTGGGTCTCCTGTGTGGATGGCAGGAAACCAAGTAAGTTCTTGGTGTCCCCTACTTCCTCCCCTGGGGGCTGGGGGAGGGGGCTGGTGC